CGAGAGGGGAGGATGGGGACAGCAGAGGGGAAATCCAGGGGGACGATTGGGGACATACCCTGAGACACGCCAAGGAGGGAGCAGGGACAGCAGGGGGACATCCTGGGGAGGGACTGGAGATGGCAGAGGGGACATTCTCGGGGTTGGGAATGGGGACAGTGCTGGGTACAGAGGGGACTGGGGAGTGCAGGGTGAACACAGAGGGCAGAACAGGACGGACATGGCAGGGAGTGGCAGGGACAGCGCGGGGGCACATTCCAGAGGGAATAAGGGACAGTGGGGGTGGGGGTAGGAGCCACATCCCAGTGGAAACTGGGGAGAGTGGGAGGGGGACAGGGGCAGTGTCCCAGAGGGGTGCTGGGCACACACTGGCACAAGTTGGAGACCCCGGAGCTGAGCTCAGCCAGGCTGCGGGTACCCACATGTGCCCTGGTGGAGATGAGCCCACCATGGTGACGTCCCCCCACAGCCATGTCCCCCCTACCTGTGCCTGCACCAGGGTGTCCCCATAGAGCACCAACCCCGGGGCCTCTCTGGGCAGCGTCAGGGCCACGCTCAGGGCCACCGGGCTCAGCTTGTCCTTGAACTCGGCCTCGTCCTGGGGACACCCATGGGCACAGCACTCTGGAGGGCATCCAGAGTGCCCACCCCACCCCACGCTCTCCAGGCACCACTGTCCCCATCCCTGCTAGCCACCCTCCTGGGACAGGGAGACACTGTTATCCCAATCCCTGTCCCCAACGCTGTCCCCATCCTGGCTGGAGATGCCACAATCCCATTCCCGTCCCCTCCACGGATTGTCCCCTCCCTCTGCCGCGCTGTTCCTGTGCCCGTACCCGCAGGTAGGCGGTGAGGTTGGTGCACACAGGGGGTGTCCCCGGTGCCACCAGCAGCTCCTCTTGCCAGGACGATTGGTGTCCCTGCAGCAGCAGGACCCTCCGCGATGGTCGGGGCTTCAGCCGGTCCAGCTGCAGCTCAGCCTCCAGCTCTGGTGGGGAACGGGAAGGTGGCACGGGTGGCACCCGAGGTGCCCCCCGGGTGACAGTGGCACTCACGGATGCTCTGAGGGATGTGCTGGCCCGTCACGCTGACACAAAACACCACGTGGAAGCTGCGGGGGGACACCACCAACAGGTGCTCAGGGATCTGTCCTGTGCCCACGGTGATGTCCCCATAGTGTCCCCATGGCAGTGTCCCCTCACCAGCTGACACGGACGCTGGAGTCGGGCAGGACACAGTCCAGGATCTCAGGGTTCAGCCCATCGGGGACACTCAGCTGGGTCCGGGCCACCACCACGGGGAGTCCCCTGGGGCACAGGGACATTGCTGAGGTACCAGGGGACCCAACAGGGAGCCCCGGGCCACCGCAGGGAGGGACGGGCACTCACTGGTACACGGCCACCTTGGCCGCCCCGTAAGCCCCCACGAGCAGATCTGCAGGGACAAGCAGAGGGTCGGTGGCGGGGTGGTGACACCGGGGTGGCAGGGCGGTGGTGACACCGGGGTGGCAGGGCGGTGGCAGTGTCAGGTGCCAGGGCTGTACCCGCGTAGCCGTTGCCATCCAGGTCGGTGGCACCGCGCAGCGCGAAGCCGAAGGCGGCGGGGCCGGGGAAGGGGCTGTTGAGGAGCTGGGTGGGCACCGGTGCCAACCCCTCGCTCTGCCCGCGGAAGATGAAGACCTGCCCGCTGCCACTGTCACCGCCCTGCGGGGCACCCACGGCCACATCTGGGGACAGAAGGGACGTGAACACCCACCCGCGTTTTTCTGCCTCGGTTTTTCCAAGGCGTGGCACCGGGGTGGGCACATCCTCCTCCCCGCCCCGGCGCGCTGTTACCGCCGAAGCCATCCTTGTCCAGGTCGCCGAGGCTGGCGATGGCAGCGGCGAAGCGGCCGTAGGGGTGGGTGCCCGTCAGGGTCTGGGGGGGCCCGGCGAGGCGCTGCTGTCCCCGCCCCAGGTAGAGGTAGAGGCGCCCCAGTTCGCTGCGCTGTCCGTCGGAGCGCCGGGCCATGTACAGCGGCGCGCCCACCAGCAGATCGTCCCGCCTGTGCCCGGCGCGGGGGTCAGGGTCTGCAGGTTTGGGGGCTGGGGGCTCCCAGCGGTGTGCCAGGCACGGGGCAGCACCCCTGGGTGTCGCCACGGAGGAGGGGGGGACGCGTGTCCCTGCTCTCACCCGTCCCCATCCACATCGGCCACTGCCACCGTGTGCCCGAAGTACGAAGCCACCTGGGAAGGGTCCGGGTAGAGGGTGGCACCGGGAGGTTGGGGGAGCAGGGGAGTGCTGGGGGGTCACAGGGCAGGGGTGTTGGGAAGGATGGGTACCTGCTCGCTGGCGATGCCCCGCAGCCTGCGCAGGGTGTCCCCCGCAGTGAAGATCTCCACCTGCCCAGGGCAGTGTCAGGCGCCAGGCCCAGCCCGCGGTGACACATGGTGGTGTCCCCTGGTGTCCCCTCCGCCAGGCACCGGCACTGGGCACTCCGCAGCACTCACCTCACCCCTCGTGTTGCTCTTGTTGGGGACCCCCACCACGTACTCTGTGAGCGATGAGAGCCCTGAGTGCCCCACTGGGACACTGAGGGGGGCACGGGGATACCCCCGGTACTGGGGTGGGCACAGGGATTCCCCTGGTGCTACACGGGGCATGAGGGCACAGAGATGGATGGGACCCCTGTGCTGGCACACCCGTTGGGAAGGGAAGCAAGGTCACTCTGGAGTCCCAGGGTGCCCCAAGCCCATCAACCCCTGTTCCCTGCACCCCTCAGCCCTACCTTTGGTTTTGGGGTTGCCATCAAACTCTCCTACAGCCACCGAGTATCCTGAAGGGAGATGGGCATTGGTGACCCTGGGGTACCCCAGCAGGAGCTGGCAGTGAGGCAGGGTGCCCGTGCCCGCTGCTCACCCCGGTACCCGTCCTCGTAGTCCCCGGACAGCGGCTCCGTGGGGCGCCCGGGGCTCCCCAGCCACAGCAGGGACTTGCCAGAGAAGCGTCTGAGGATCTTGTCCAGCTCCACCGAGTACACGAGCCCTGGGGCACACCGCGGCGGGGAGCACCAGCACTGACAGGGCACCCGCTGCCACACGCCCTAGGCTGCCAGTGCCACTGCGGGTGGCACTTATGGGGTACCCCACCCGGGGTGCCCTCCTCCCGCTGTGCCCACCCCGAGAGCACCAGCCGGGGTGGGCACGGCGGCAGGAAGGACTCACCTGTGAAGTAGTACCCGCCGGGGGCACCCAGCACCAGCGTCCCATCCTGCGGGAGACGCTGGCTCAGCACCACCCCGGGGCACCCTGGCATCCCCCCAGAGCATCCTCACCCAAGTATCGCCCACCCCAGTATCTCCCAGCCCAGCATCCACCCCACTGCTGGGACTTCTCCCGGAATTGCCGCTGCAGCATCGCCCGTTTCAGCATCCCTACCCCACCATCCCCGCCGTGCCACCCAGGTACCATCCTGCCCACACCCTCTGCATCTCCATCAGCCCCCCATGGGCATCCTGGGGGGCACCCCGACCCCTCCCAGGAGTCCCCCGAGCCCCTCAAGTCCCCTCTCACCGGGGTGACAGCGGCGCTGAAGCCGATCTCGCAGTAGCGCTTGTCGTGCACTGAGGGCACAGGGCAGGGTCAGACGGACGCGGGGTTGGGACCCCCGGGTCGGGACCCCCGCTCCCCGCCCGCCCCTCACCGTAGTTCATCAGGCGGTGGGTGCTGGCCATGGTCTGGTCTCGGCAGGGCGAGTACCACACCGTGCGCCGCTGCCCCGCGCTCCGCACCAAGCAGGTGCCCGTGGGGGTACGGAACGCTTCGTGCTGCCCCTCCAAAGCGTTCCAGTGCTGCAGCGGGGCACAGACCTGGGCACGGCGATGGGACAGGCTGCGAGCCCGCCCCGCCAGCACCCAAAGCTGCCCACATCCCCCGCGGGTGCACCCACCACCAGTTTGCCGTCCCAGCTGGTGACGGACGCTCCCAGCCACTGGTGCGATTTGTAGGTGTGGAGCTCCAAGGTGCCCTGGCTCTCGCTCTCGTCCCCTGGGCAGCGGGAGAAGGGGATGTGCGGAGCTGGCACCCCCTGAGGCCGCTCCCCGCCCCGCGGTGCCCACGCACCTGCAGTGTCGATGGGCAGGGGGTGGCAGGGGCTTTTGTCGGGGGGCCAGGAGCAGAGGAAGACGGCGCCGGGCTGAGCCACGGGCTGGGAGGTGTTGGCACGGGGGGCCCCCACCGCCACGCTGGGCCTGGGGGACAGAGCGGGTGTCAGGGTCGCCGGGCGTGTGCTGTGCCCGACCACCCCGACACCCCGGTGCCTCCCTACCTTCCCTCGCTCATGTGGAAATCCAGGGCGAAACCGAAATAGCTGCCGGGGGGTCCCTCGTAGATGGTGGGGGGCTCCTGGAGAAGCCCCAGCGTGGAGGGCAGGCGCAGTGCCCCGAGGAGCAGCAGCACCCGCAGCAGCCCCATCGTCACCCCGAAATGTGGCCACAGCCCCCGGGCCTGGGCGTCCCTGGCTTATCTCGGGGGACGCAGCTGGGGCTGCCCAGCAGGAATGGGGAACACAGGAAAGGCCCCCCCGGACTCATATCCGCTCCTGCAGGGAGCCAGAGAGGTGCGGGGAGACGGATGTGGCCGGAGCAGGGCGGGGGACAGGAGGTGGCAGTGCCACCGGGGGACACGGGGACAGGGTGGGGGGATACGACCACAGCAACCTGAGCCTATCGCCCGCCGCAGGGCACCAGTTTGGGGGTGCCTGTTTCGGGATGTGCGTTTGGGGTGGTTATTTCGGTCCCTGCCAGCGGAAATGTGGCAAGGGGGGAGGACAGCAGGGCACAGGGCCCTTCCATCGCCCCGATATCCCCTCCGCGGCCGGATGGAGCTGACAGCACCGAGCCCGCCCGCACTCGGCATCACCCCCAGCGTCCCCTTCCTTTAATCAAACCAGGGCTCTGGTTAGGAAAAGAGAAGCTGGTGCTCCACACAGTAGCTCCCCACCACCACACGGCAGCACGTTTCTTTTCCACAAATCGTTGGTTTATTAGAAAGGTTTTTTTTCCCTCATTTTACAGCATATATATATATTTATATATATATCTTATGTGACAAAGTTAAATACAGTCTGTTTATGCTCGTTAAGTAATGACGGGTTAATTATTTTAGCGCTATCCTGAAGTCCAAAAACAATCCCTGTGCCCACAGCACGATGGGGCCAGGGAACAGATGGGCCCTATGAAGCTCAGCTCTGACAGTAACACTGAATTGTGCGGTATTTACAGGAAATTGAGTCCCTTTTTTGTGACTGCTGTCACTCTGACCTGCTCCGATTTCTTGTTTACACGGTGAGGGAGCTCAGGGGGTTTTGATCCTTTGACTCTGCCTGGCCTCGTGCTGCACTCCAGGAGGGGACAGGGAAGAGGACGAGGAATGGGAGAGGGATGTCACACATTGCCCGGCACTGGGCAGGGAAGCTCCCACAGGCAGCGTCACTGAGCTGGGTGATGCTGGGAGAACTGGGAAATCCCAGTTTGGGGTAACCCTCATGTGGGATGGAATAGTCCCTGCACCAGCAGGGTCTGCACATTACTGCTTCCAAAGGGGAGGAAAGGAAAAAAAAGGGCTCTCAAGTCTCTGGGAGCACCCTGAATTCCTGCTGCTCCCCAGGCTGCCCATTCCTATGGCAGGGAAGCAGCATTACCTGCCAGAGTCACTGCTACCCCCACACCCCTCACCTTCCCAAATCTCACCTGCTGATTTCTTTTCTTCTGCAAAATTCTAAATTTTTTTTTTGTTTGTTTGTTTTTACATTTTATACTACATAAAAACTTCAAAAATACATGAGCTTGATAAAATATACATGCTTAGCTGTTTTGCATCTAGCTGAAACTATAAATTGAACCTTTACAAGTGTCTTGGGTCACCTACGGCAAACATATTTACACAGAAGCCACCAGAACAAGTACCACTAAGAACTGGCTGTAAAAAATATTATTGCGATATACTACAAATGTAACCTTTGATAGGAGCTACAAAAAGCAGCATCTTTGTTTACAGAGTTCAGTGCAATTCTTTACATAAAAAAAAAAAAAATCCTATAAATTAATAAGAAAACCATCAGTGTTACAGAGGAAAGAACACGCTTTACATCCCGGCCGCGCTCCTACATCCTCTGTATTGCTTCAATTCCTAACAGGATTTTCCTTCTCTCTCCCATCCCAGTGCCTCTTTCCCAACCCCACAGAAGATGGAATTCTTTCAGGAGAAGAGTGGTCAAAGCCCAGACTGGAATCCCAACCCCTCACCCAAGAAACTCTCTCCAGTCTGGGATATCCAGGCATGGTCCTGGCACAGGAGAACACGGATGCAGGAGAAGGACAGGAGCTCTGGGTACACACACAGAGCTCCTCCTCCTCTTTACACTAAGATCTTACTTCCATTTTTGCTGCTCACACCAAGAAAAACCCACCTCTGCAGAGACAGGGGCCAAGGAACCTCCTGCAATGCCTGAAAAGTGATGCCTCAAGCCCCTCTGCAGCTGACAGCTCCAATGTTTCATTGCCGATTACAAGCCAGATTCAATCATGCTACTTTAATTAGATGACCTCATAAAAGGATTTTTAGAGATCCTATTAGTGTATATGAAACCTCATTTATCATATACAAGGTGGCAGAAGGAAGATGACCAAGTGTAAGAATCCAAGGGGAAAAAAAGCCTTTCCAAGTTTCTCACTGTTCTAAAGGTGAAATGGTTCTTCTGGAGCGCTGCTGCTGTGTGCACAGAGGAGTCGGAGCGAGACATCCCAGGGACACAGCCAACTGCCCAGTCCTCGAGCCCCTGGCTTCTTTGGCTGCTCAAGAGTGAAAGGAAATGCTCAAGCCTCACCTGCCCGCTGGCTCGACTCCAACCCCTTCCCAAAACGCCGAATATTCTCCTTCCTCTGAGGTTCCTTCATTTTGTCCTTCATGTGCCGTGGCTGGGTGGATGCTGCAAGTCCTGTCCTGAGAAAATGGGGTGCAGGAGAGGGTGGAGGTGCAGGGCTGTGGCAGCAGCAGCGGCTGCTGGCCTCGGGGCCAGGAGGGTCGGGTAGAGAGCGTGAGGGACAGGGTGGAAGGTGAAGGGGCCCGGGTGGATGGCAGACGCCGGAATGATGTGGATGGGGTGGCTGGCCAGGAACGTGGCGGGGTGCCCCGGAATAATGGAGTGGGTGAGGTGGGACAAGGAAATGGGTGTCAGGTGTGGCTGGGGGATGTGGTGGACCTGAGCGAGGGGCTGTGGGTGCGGGTGGGGGTGGATGCCGATGGCGGCGGCGGCGGCAGCAGCGTGGTGCTGCAGGATGGCGTGCTGCACCGTGGTGATGGACGTGGCCGAGGCCGCGGCCGGCTGCTGGATGTGGATGGGCTGGAGCGCGGGCGCGGCCGGGGCCAGGGCGGCTGAGGCAGGGAATGCCTTCACTTGCTTGGCCAGCAGCTGCTGCTGGATGTGCTGCTGGGCAGCCTGCTGCAGCTTGCTGTACTTCTCCATCTCCTCGGGTGTGAAGGTGATGGGCTGGCTCTCCAGCGGGGCTAGAGAGGAATCCTCTCCCCCCTCCCGATCTCCTTCCATGTTCGGCTCCCCGCTCTGAGGCACGTAGCCAGGAAAGTGCTCAACATCTAAGGGCATCATACTGGTTTCCACTGGGACTGGCTGGTTGCCCCTGTCCATAGGCTCCAGCCCGTCACCATCGCTGGGATCTGAGAGGAAGTTGTGTGGCATGACCAGATCTCCGGAGCCAAAGCACTCGGGGAGCGCCGGCGCGTCCAGGGGGAGGGACGGCATCTCCACAGAGGCTTCATCACGTTTCTGCTCATCCAGAGGTTTGTCCTGAATTACCATCACCACATCTTCCAGGAGAGACTGGCCGGCCAGCTGACCGTCCTCCATGCCTTGGGAACCATCCTCAGCATCTGACAGCTCCTGCTCCTCGCCCCTCTCCAAGCCAGACTCCTCGTATCTTTTGGAGTTTGGTTTCCGAATAGTTGGTAGCTTCCCAATTAAGGGCAGAACCGGTTTGTTGCCTAATGAAGGAGGCAGTTTGGGGCCAAAGTACCCCTGGGGAGGATCTTTGAGCTTTATGCCCACTTTGTTTGCCCCTGATAGCATCTCGTCAGTGACGCAGGGCTTCTTCTCAACCTTCCTGGACTGCACCTTTTCCAAGAGCAGCTTTGCAGTGACAGAGTTCCTCTCCTCAGGACTGCAGTCCCCTTCCAAGGCCCGCCCCATGCCAGAGCCGCTGCTGTTCTGGGACAGGGAGCTGGATCCTTTCAGATCCTCTCCTTTGCCATCCTCCTTCTTCAGCAGCGACCCTTCACCTCGGCCTGTCCGGAAGTAGTGAGGAGACTGGGAGCGATAGATCTTAGACCTAATGAAGTCCCTTCTGCCAGACCTTCGCTCCTCGGGGCTCTCGTGGCCCCGCGAGCCCTTCCGTGACAGGGACCTCTGTGAGTGGCTGCGGGTGCTGCGGCTGCGGTCCCGGCTGTAGCTGCGGCTGCGCTTCCAGCTGCGGCCCGTCACGCTGCGGCTCCTCCTCTTGCTCCGACTGCGGCTGCAGCTGCTGCTGCGGCTCCTGCCCCGGCTCCTCGATCTCGACCTGCCTCGAGGGTCGCTTCGGCTCCTGCTCCGACTCCTGGACCTGCTCCTGCTCGAGCTGTAGTCATCTTCCGACGAGGAGTATTTGCGCCGCTTTGAGCGGTGGTTTGAGCTGTTGTAGTCAGAGTCATCCTCCGAGTCCTGGGAGCGCTTGGAGTGGCAGCGGGAGCGGTCGCTGTAGTCGCTGTAGCTGTCGTCCGAGTAGCTCCTGTGGCGGCTGTAGCGGCTGTGCTCCGAGGATGCGTCCGAGCTGGTGGAGTAGGACCTGTGTGAGGAGTGCCTGCGGCCCGAGCGGGAGCGGCTGCGGGAGTGCTCGCTGCCCGAGTCGTAGTCGTCGCTGTACTGCGACGGGGACTTCTGGCGGCAGTGCTTGCCAGGGGAGCCCTCGTCACTGTCATCGTCACCGCTGCTCTGCTGGCTCCGGCAGCCGCCCCGGGGCTGGGACAGAGCTGGGCAGCGCCTCCTCACGCCAGGCACCTGCTGCAGCTCAGCCTTGTGCCTTTTGCTGCCGTGCTCTTGGCAGGAGTTACCCCCGTCTTCTTTTTTACTGCTGCTTCCCTCCTCAGCAGACAGGGATTTCCTCTGGGACTCCTGGGAGCATCGCTTTTTCTTCTGGAAATGGCTGCAGTCTTCAGACAGTTCAGGTTTCAGTGCCCGATCTGACTCTGTTGAAAGGGAGGATTTACCTTTTTTGTGCCTATGCCTTTTCCGTTTCTTGGGTTTCTCTTCCCCCAGCTCAGCTTTCCGGGCCTTCTCCTCAGCTTCCTCCTTATGTTTGCGTTTGTGTCTGCTGGACTTTTTGTGCTTCTTTTTCTTTTTGTGTTTATGGGACCTTCCAGATTTACTCTTACCCGTTACACTCTTACTGGTGTCCTCCCCCTCTCCCTTACCGACACTTCCCAGACCGGACTCCTGCTTACTCTGGGATTTGTTTTCCATTTTCTGAGCAGAACTGTTCCCTACGCTTTCAGCCTCCTTGGTTTTGCTTACCTCACCAGGTTCTGTGCTCTGAGCGTTGTCTTTACAAAGCCCCCCTTGATCCTTGGATTTCTCTGCCCCTTTCCCTTTTGCATCCTTGTTACGGGAGAGCTTGAAGTCGAAGTACAGGGGGTTGCAGCTGTAGGATACAGAGGGCTCAGCTTTGGTGAAGATGAGCAGCTCTGAAGGCCACTGCAGTGTCGTGCTCTCGTCCTTACTCAGAACAGGGAAAAAAGGTCCCATGGGGTGCTTTGGTCCCTCAGAGCCATCTCTGCAGCCCGAGGCAGGAGGAGGAGCTTCTTTAGCAGCGTCTGGCTCAGGGGGATTGCTCTCTGGAAGGTGCTTGCTCTCCTGTGTATTTTCATTCTCTGGGATGTCTTTTCGTTCTGTTTTGCCCTGCTGAGCTGCAGTTTCAGTAGTACTCTGCTCCTTCTGCTGCCCTGTGCTCTCAGCAGCCTTTTCTGTGTGCTTGCTGGGTTTGGGTTTGGGGGAACTCCCCTTTTTCACTTCGTGCGCGTTTTTTTTGTTCACATTTTCCGCTTCTGTTTGCTCAGTAGCCTTCATGAAAAGCAGGAATTGAAAGTTGGGCTTTACTTTACAGTGGGCTGGGGGGATGTAGTGGTAATATTCTGGTTCTACAGCTGTTGGTCCATCTTCTCGCCTCATCTTCTTCAGTTTGGATAAGGTGCTGGCTAGAGCCCCACTGTCCTTGTCATGCTGGTCATCATCCTCTGCCTTGCCATCAGAATTATTGGTGCCTTCACCCTCCCCAGACTTCTGCAAGCTGCCAGCCTCCGAGGATCCCTTCTCATCACCTTTTGCCCCATCTGCAGAACTGGACTCGTCCACGTGGTCCTTGAAAACAGAAGCGATGGTCTCCAGCTTCACTGGGGTCTTCTTGGCAAAGGAAAAGGACACCCCGATCTTCTGTAGTGGAGTTCCCAGAGAGCTCTTAATGCCAAAGCTGATGGCCTGTGCCCCCTGGGCAGGCGTCTGGCCTGGCATCACAGTGCCTTGTCCAGTGTTCAGGAAGCCTCTGTCCGTGGTCATCTCTGTGGCCTGGCCAGAGCTCATCTGGACAAAGGAGCCACTGTTGGCCGCGGAATCATCGTCATCTCCACCTTCCTCGTCCACAGCCACCGTGGTGGTCCTGAACATGGGCCCACTTCCAGGAGCACTGCAACAGGGGAGAGAAAAAAACACAGCTTACTGTGGTCCCTGTCCCTCTCCAGGAGGATCCATCTCTCAGTAGAGACAATCTTACACAGCTCAAGTGCTCTTGCACCCAGACACATGCATTAAAATATCATTATACAGCCACTCAAAGTTTTTCATAATATTAAATTACTGAAGAAAAGGTATTGCTGGTTAAAGCAATTTGAGAATGCTCTGCATGATCAGTTTAGTGAACTCACTCCTACCAAAATCACAGCATGAGCCCCAAACACCAGTGTGAAGCTTTGCCCTCAAAGCCTGTGCAGTATCCCAGAGCAGGAGTGCCAGCCCAGCGCAGGGGTGCTGGCCCAGACTCACCACTCAGGCTGCCTCCTCTGCTCAGCCAGCTCGTGCAGGCGCCGCAGGGCTTTCTCCTGCTTCCTCTCATCTTTCCGGGATCTTGACGAGACATTGCGAGCAAATTCCCTCTGCTTGAGATCTTTCAACCTCTGAGGCAAAAGAAAGCAGGGACGGATCAGATCAAAGCTGTTTGTGTTTGTCCAAGAGCAGCTCTTTGCTGTAGCACTGGAAATTGCGGTGTCAAGCCCCTCCCCAGGGACATTTATTGAGCCAGGATGGAGCAATAGCATCTTAGCTCAACAAACCCCACGGAGCACACTGCCATCCTCCCAGCAGCTGAAGGAAAAGACAACTGGTGGTCACTTTTGGCTATGACTTCAAGTTCTGTGTACACCCCTTTCCAATCAACACTATTGGTTTTCTTTAGCATGGACAACAAAGCTGATTTTGAAGCAACAAGCAAATTCTGGAAGGAAAAGGGGAAAAGAAGGATTGTTTACTTTGCTGCTCTTGCAGCGTGCAGATGTACTTGACAAACGGTGCATGACATGAGTCAAAAGCATGGGCCAAAGGACAGGAGGGATCAGCTGGTGCCAGAGCTACCTGGGAATGACATCTGACAAAAGCAATGTACCGTTACATTGGAGAAGGAGCCAAAAATCCCATGCAAATGATTTCGTAAGCAAATCCAGAGTGCAACATACACCACAACCGGTTACTTGATTTCCTGACAGTAGTTCTGAGAGGGTCAAGAAACAAACTGCTCTAAAGGCAGGAGGGTCTCTTGGGGTTGAATACTTTGTGGAGGGGCAGAAGCACCAAGTTCCCCAGAAGTCTTATCATGAGGGAGCAAACCCAATCCCAAGGAATTTCAAACATCCCAATATACTGAGGGAGTCTAGGTAGCCAATTCTAATAGAAAATCAACATCCAAGACTTCAGAACATTTTGGAAAGTCCTTGGCTCAGAGTACTAGGAGAAGAGGCTGCTGATTTTTCTTGGAATATATGTGGATATTCACAACACTTTTTTAGAGTGCTCTACAGAAGTTTAAGTAACAGAAAGCAACAAAGACAGACCGCTACCATCCTAAAGGGACTCATTGTTCTTTTTTAGTGCACAATTCAAAACCCTTTCAAAGGGCCCAGTTCCAGAATGCATCCTGTACTCAGCTTTTGGAAAAAGTTTCATGTTTTTCAGGCATTTCATGCAGGGCCTGGGAGACTAACGGGACTCAGAGCAGGAGTCACTTTAGAACAATTCTTGTACAGGATGTACAAATCACTGGTGAATTCTAAATACTTCTGGCTGGCTGACTCTGCCTCTTTCCTGGAGCAGAGTCAGACTGCCACACACAGAAACAGTGGACCTGGAAACCAACCCAAAGCTCAAATTAGAGGAATTAAGCTGGCCCAATGTAAAGAGAACATTGCTTTGTGAAAAAGGGACAAGACAGAGGATTCTCTTACCTAATTGTATTTACTAAATGTGGTTGATTGTTACCAAAATCAGAGGGGAGGACACACAAAAAAAGATACAACTACAGACACCAGTAGAAAGAAACTCACTCTTGTGATCTGGACTCCCAAATTAGAAGGGTTTGCTTTCAATACATCAGCTGAAAACATCACATCACAAAGAAAAAAAGAAAGTAAAAATATAACAAGAGTGGAAGAGAAAAAAAAAACCAAAAAACCAACAAGCAAGCATTACTAGAGAGCCATGGGGGAGTGTGCCAGCTATTCTACGGAGCAGGAGCGGAGCCAGGGGAGCGAGCTGGGGTCTGGAGCAGGGGACACACACGGACACGCACGGACACAGCCATGATCCCACCTGGAACAGCAGAGCTACTTTCACCAGGACAAGTAAAGGGCTCAAGGGTTTTGTGGTGTATGTTAAATGTTGAGGAGTAAATTTTTTTCCAAGAGGAAGAAAAAAAAATACAATAGATGGATTGAGCAATGCTATCAGCTTTTTCATGCTGATTTTGAAAGTGTGTCTGAAATGCTCTGGGAAGTTACAGCCACCAACAGCTGACAAAACTATTTAATGGGGGCTGATGCCAAGTCTCGAGATCACTCACCCATTTGGAAAAAAGTATGACCCAGCTATTTACACCAGACACGAACTGTGACCTTTTCCTCTCAAGAGGAAGGTGCAATGGTGCACTCAGAGCCCGCTGTGCCCCCAGGCATGGTCCTGATCATCCCCCAGGACACAAACCAGGCTCAGAGCTGCTGGGAACATGCAGCTGCCCCCAGGCTCTCCTGCCTCCACTACATGGCAATTTGAATGAAGACAGAATTAAATGCCCATTATTAAATGCTGACCTTTGTGTGTCTCTGCTCCCTCAAACCTCCCACTCTCAACACTTCAGATTTAGAGGTGTGAAGCAAATTAACTACCCCAAAGCACTGTAATCCGGAATATGCACCACAGCAACTCCCATGTGCACCCAAACCTGGGCCCTTTAGGCTGATAAATCACCGGCCTTCGTGTCAAGACTGCTGAGAATTTGGTACTTCCAAAATTGGGGAAGAATTGGTCTGGCTTTCAAAGGACCAAGAGATCTCAAGGCTGAGTTTCTTTTTGTCACACAGAAGTCAGGAGGAAAAAGAGTCTTGCTGGGGAAGTACAGGATAGAAAAGCTCACAAATGCACCATGCCAGCTCCTAGGAAATGCAAAATACCAAACAGAACATAGCTCAGCTTCTTAGACTGACCTAAACCAACAGACCTATCATCAGAAATTACCCCAGGCGTGCAAGAGACCTGGCTGGACTGCATTACCCTCCCTAAATGTGTCCTGGGGGAGGGAAAGGGGGGAAAAGAGGAGCCCATATTGCTCATCTGTAACAACAACCAGCTGCAGGAATGAAAAACACCCAGAACTACTCAAAATAACCTGTAACTCCCCCCTCACTGTTTCAAATATGTCACTGAATGCAGTGATTCGTCCCCTCAGAATGGATAACCAGTTCACTACAGCCATGCCCACCCTGCTCCCCAGTCCTGACTGGGAAGGAGTAACCCAAAGACAATTTCACTGGCTGAAGAGAGCACATGGAGCATTGAAATACTGCTCACACGCTTCCAGGTCTCAGCCTGGCCAGGAAATCATTTGAACTAAACAGGTATTGAAGTTCAGCTTACACTAAAGAAATTTCCATCTAATCCTGAAGAGAGTGTTATTCTAATCCCCCAAAAGCCTCAAAATTACTTTTTGGACCACACCAGATGTGCGGATGTGAGTGAGGCTGGAAGTGCATGGAACTGTCCCTTCCCCAGCACCGTGGAGAAATTCCAACAAGGATTTAACACAGCCACTCAACCATCCTCAGGGAACTTCTCCTTCCACAAGGAGCCCTGGGAACTCCTACTTTTGGGGTGAATCCTCCCTTTTAAAGTCTTCCCATTGTGCTTAGCAAGACAATGATTTTTTCAACAGGATTAGAGCCACCAAACCTGTATTAAATCAAACACATGCTTCATGCTATTGCAAGATTTCAAAATTAAAGGGCATTTTTTTTTCTCTGTGGGTAGTGTGTTTTCTGAGGAAGCAACAGTTTATACAAGCAGCAACATCCTTTCAAACTGCAGGATCATGGAGACCATAAAGCCAAGGAATATTCTACTAGTTTATTACTTCAGCTGTCAGAAGGACTACGCTGCAGTGACCAGCAGTGACACAAATCACCAGCACTTACATAAAATTTCTCCAGATTTCCACATGCTGTAGGCAGTAGTTCACTATCTCCAGCCTTCCTGGGGTCTATTAATAGCTGCCACCCACCTCAGCTTTGGAACAAAGAATTGTATTTAAAGTTTCCAGCCTTGTTTCTAACAAAATTCCAAACTCGTCTCTGCATTTCCACAGGAGTGCAAATCAGGTTCCTAAACAGCGAGTTTGATATCAAATCTGCAGCTACCTCTGGACTGCAGCACAGAGAGGCCACAGTGCTGGATTATCTCCCAATCCCTGCACGGCTCAGGAGGGGCCAAACTGGCAAACACCACCAGTACCTTCCAATCCTCACAAATCAGCTTAGACCAGTTGCACCACAGCACTGCTGAAAAGCTCCTGAGAGCCCATCCCAGGCACAGCAAAAGGGGGAATACAGGGGGGAGAGCAGGAGTCAGGAACTATTGCAGAAAAATCACTGGATCATCACAGAATATCCGAAGAAGGAAGGAACGCCCAAGGATCATCCAGTCCCACCCCTGGCCCTGCAGACACCCCAACAATCCCACCCCGTGTACCCCACACCCCTGGGAGTGGTGTCCAAGCACTCTTGGAGCTCTGGCAGCCTCAGAGCCATAAAAAACTCAGCACACCCCAGATTTTGCTGATGAGACAGAACCAGGTAAGACTCCCCCAGTACCCGGCTGGGGTGCAGAGCTTTACAGGCTCAGGACCAGCAGTAAATGGAATTTCTCTGTTTAAGCTGACAAAGCCACACAGCATCACTGAACTGAGGCCCACTGAGAGACATTCTCTGCTTCAAAGTGCAGAGCAGAAAAAGCCCCTGTTATTCTCACAAGACAAAAGCATTGTCACACTGTCACCAGACCTGAAGATGAGAGACTTTCATGCCAAGCCTCATACTGAAATGGGTCAAAGCAGATCCACCTCTGGGGCTCGAGGCAGAAGGCAGCACCCATAACATCAGAGCCCCCTCCTCCCTTGCCATTGTTCTCATGTCTCTCTGCCAACCCATATTAAATAAAATAATAATAATGTACTTTTCATTCTGTGCCAACAGATTTCTTTCTTTCTGAACTTTTGACGTCTGCTTGATTCTTTGCCCCAAAAAGCTTTTGGGAGTGAACGACACCATGAAACACAAGCTCAAAGGATGGCAACCTTGATCATTTTACTGAAGTGAGAACACAAGCCTGGCTTATCTTTGGTCATCAACATTCTTTGCACGCTTATAAATGAAGTGAAAAGAACAGAGGGGAAATGGCCTGCAAATGCTGTTTTATTTCATCTTCATTTCCTCCCTGGAAGCAATCAATGTTTTTCTCAGCTGGGTTAAGAAAAATATAGAATGGGTTGGGTTGGAAGGGAAATTAAAGCTCACCCAGTGCCACCCCGTGGCGCAGGGACATCTTCCACTGTCCCAGGTTGCTCCAAGCCCCAGTGTCCAACCTGGCCCTGGGCACTGCCAGGGATCCAGAGGCAGCCACAGCTGCTCTGGGCACCTGTGCCAGCGCCTGCCCACCTTCACTGGGGAGAATTTCCTCATCATCTCTAACCCAAACCTACTCCCTTTTCAGTTAAATTCATTCCCTTTTGTTTTATCACTCCATGCCCTTGTCCAAAGTCCCTCTCCAGTTCTCTTGGAGCCCCTTTATTGTTAACTGGTGGGTCTTCTGAGGGCAGAGCATTTCTGGAGCAGAAGAACCTCCCATGTAACACCAAGTACCTCTGAGATTCCCTCCTCAGTCTTTCCCATTCAAGCTGTGCTTGGAGGCCCAAGGTTTTGGAATTCTCAAGTCTCCCCAAAACACAAAGTTCAGGGCTTGCATTCAGAGTATTTCTCAACCCCAGCAGTGACTGTCTTGGTAATTTTACTGTGGTTGAACAGATCCCTCCCCTTCGGCATGAGAAACAAAGATGCAGCTAATTAGGGCACAAAGAGAACTGCACACCTATACTTTCAGTTCTGAGTTCCACCCTCTTTCCCACAGAACTTATTTAGGGAATACACTCCCTTTGCCCTTTTACAAAGAGAATCCAGGCAGAATTAATCACCTACACCTCCAAAACACCACATACTTAGGGGGAAAAAACAGCTACATAAAATCTGCATTTCAATGCTGGTTTGTGCTCTCCCAGGGAACCTGGCACAAGTTCACTCAGGAATACGTTTGTTTTTCACAGGCAATGCAGAAGGAGAATGTTTTGATTCTGTTGGGTCAGTGACTCAGTAAACAGCTCGAGCCTCAGCAGGCACATGAGCAGAACAAGGTGATGGTGGGAGATTCTCCAAGTTCTTAAATTGTTAAAAATCCCCCATAGTAAAAGCTGACTGTAAATGCTACATAACTGACATCCAAGATAATTCCAACTAGAACTCTTGCAGGCTGCTTCAGGTGCTGGGCTCTGCACATCCAGGTTTATTGTTTATTTGACAGGAACACACAGACTGGCCACAACCCCGACAAGCAGCTCACAGTCATCTTCACACAAATCTGACACGAGGTCTTTATCTTAATGTCAAAACCCCAAACCAAATAAGGAGCCCTCACAGGTGTAATGCTTTAAGGACACATTCCCACTGAGACCAGAGTGTTCTAAGTCTGCGGGAGCTCCCAAGGATCAGGACATTTTGGATCTGCAGGAAAGCAGCAGAAAAATCACAGAATCCCAGACTGGTTTGGCTTAGAAAAGATCCTAAAGATTACCTTGTTCCACCCCCTGCCATGGGCAGGGACACCCTGAACTATCCCAGGTTGATGCAAGTCCTGTCCAACCTGGCCTTAAACCCTTCCAGCGATATACAATAGGTCCATCTTCACCACCCAAGATCCTTCTTAGCTGCAGAAGTTTTCTTTCTACATTTGCTACCTTCTGTCTGTTAATTATTATTAATTATTGCGTTGTTGACTGTCAGGAGTGGGCACCATCAGGAGCGGGGCCCTTCATAACCTACCAGGCCTTCAAAATCAAAATCCTACAGCTAAAAAAAAACCACCATTGAAGACATCAGCAGCAGTACAAGAAGTTGTGGGATGCAGCCTTTCCAGCTGCTCACTGCAGGGTGTGTGAGAGAACTGAGATTCCTGCCCCTCCTGCAGGGCCACCTGCACCCACTCCAGCTGCTTGCAGTCCCCTGAGAGGGACAGGCCATGTGCTGACTGGTCCTTAAAACAGCTGCACTTCTCATCAAGTATCAACTTAATTAAAACCAGCTCCAGAACAACACTGCACACTTCCAACACAATGGCTGAAACATGCCAGTGGTTTGGGAGAATAAATGCAAGGATCTTTTCCCAGGTAAGGAAATGCTGCCTTTTGGAGAAACTTGGTGTTAAGGTTGATTCAGATGCAGCCAAATGGTCTATGAAACCAGGACAGGCAGGAAGTAAAGAGAATAAACCTCCCCTTTAATTGTTTGGTGTTCACACAATTTTGGTGGGTCCAAAATTCATCCGGTTGGGATCAATACACTTACCTATCATCCCTGTTGGGCAATAATCCCGAGTTCCTTCCTGGAATACAAGACAGTGTCTTTATAACTCGGGAGTGGAAAGGGATCTGAGGATGGAACATCTATTTACAGGGACAGCCTAATGCTCGCAGCGCCACAGAGGGATAACCAAACACTTCAACGTCAGCGGGATGTGGAACTAAAAATACTTAAAAGCAAAAATGCTGTGGAAACTGAGCCAAGAAAAAAGCAAAAACAAGCTCTGTTGCCTCAAAAATTACCACTGAGACAACAAAATCTTGCAGATGATGTATACCAAGATGGGTTGCTGTAACTAAGATACTGTAATGGCTTTTCTTTCCGAGAAAGCCAACTGATGGGCCTAGTTTTGGAAAAGTTCATGTTTTTCCTCAAAAACTTTAGGCTCACCTTTCTGCAACCTCTCCCTCTTGTCCAAAGTGACAAACTATAGAACATCAACGTGCAACAGATCAAAAGCACAGCTCTTTTTGTAAACTCTTTTAAAATTTAGACTGGACTGCTGGGTATGAGCCTCCCTGGAGCAGGAGAGATAATGTTCCTTATGCAAATTCACTGTCATTCTGTCTCAGGGGTTTCAAGTTCACTCCCTGAACGCTGACCTAGCGGGGTCACACACATTTCAGCCCGACAAAGCTGGATAAGCAATTTTTTCCCTAAGCAAAGCATGATTGCTTCTTTGTTTAAATCCCTCTGTAACTAGAAATTAATGCTGGGTGATGCAGCCAGAGTTTGGAGGCTCATTTTCTCCAAAGCCTGCCTGAAGTGACTGCAATGGATGGAATTATCCAAGAACATAATTCCTCTCAAAATAATCAGCAGTAGCAAGCAACCTCCAAATTCTTTCTCCTGATGAGATGACTCCATCCTGTGTGCACACAAGACATTTTTCTCTCAGGCCACTCCTGCTGATGACTCCTTTTATTGCTATCCACAGGTTAGTTTCCTCCTCCACAGCATCTCCAGCTGCTGGAAGAGCTCTGAGCCTGGCCAGGCTGGTGTCAGCGCCCTGTCAGTCACCGAGAGCTGGGCAGTTCACAGAATCCCATGGCATCAGCACACCAAGAATGTGACAAAACAGGTCCTGCCACCTCCCAGATAAATGCAGGTCACTGCACTCAGGTTTCAGCCAAACTGATGGAAACCCTCCAAGGAAGTTTTCTGCTCTCAGGTGTCACGACTGAGTTTGGCCAAAACCACCCCTTTGCCCAATAACCAAGGAAATAAATGAATTTCTGCTCCTGATTCTACCAAACCGCTCCTCAGAGCCCGACTGCCCTGCCATGAGAATTCCTGACACGACTCCCTTAGTTCAAAGCAGATTCTCTGTCATATTTTACATTTAACACACACACAAAAAAATCATACTCTAAAGCCACATTCTTGTTTTCAAGCTGTTTTCACTGCTATTTTGCAAGCTCTACAGCACATCCTCCTCGAGTTACCAGGATTTTGATGATTGTGTTGCTAGAATTTATGACTAGGAACATCAAACCCTTCCTCTGAGCCGTTCCAGCCCTGGAGGAGCCCAACACTGCTATCTGCTGTGCAGTTACATCTCATTTAGCAGCTTAAATGGTCAAACAGATCAGGCTAACACAAGAACTTCCATTACTTACTGTGCAGCATAAAACACCCTGCAGACACTACAGTACATCCCTACCTTGGGAAAAAAAGCCAGTTCCACAGAGACTCTGAACCCACCTTCTCTTGAGAATCACAGAATTTGGGAAGTGCTTCTTTCTTAGGATTCCTTTGACACAGCCCATTATTTCCTAGTCTGTTTTCAGAAACTCCACTGAACACAGACTCAGGTAGTAAAATGCTCACACGTGGGGAATCATCACTCCCCAAAGCTGTACTAATGCTAAAAGCAAGCTGGGAGCCATCCACCTCCATGTGTACTCTCTTCAGTTTCACACCAGCACATCCCTGTCCGTGGGTCTTTCAGAAGTGGGGTTCCTTGATGCCAACCATGGAGTGGGGCTTGGGGTTCTTCTGTTGTTTTGCGTTTTTAAATGAATGATAAGCATAAAAATCTTATCCAGCAACATAAAACACCTATTCCTGGACCAGTAAGGAAAACAGGTACACCAGGGAAACTCCAAGTATTAACCACAAACAAGACCATCACAATGAACATCCAACAGATGAACTGTGCTGTCTACAACTGGTTACCTGCTTGTGAGCATGGTCGTAAGAGTTTATGTGGTTGTCAAACTCCTGGTGCTTCTGATACTGCTTGTCACAGAGTTCACAGTAGAAGTTTGCTCTGAGGTCTTCCAAAGCTTTGGCAATAGCCTTTTCTTTATCAACATAATCCTGAAAAATTAACAAAAAATTGCTTCTGTTAAGTGTCCAGTAGAACAGCCTGGAAGATGATGGGTTAGTCCTTTAAGGAAAAATAGTGCTTAATAAAAACTTGGTGTACATTGATTATATTTATTACAGGATAATTGAGGTTGGAAAACACATCCAACATCACTGGGTCCAACCTGTGCCCACAACCAGCTGCTGCTGGGCAGCACCTCCAGGTTCTGTCCCAATTTCCAGTCATTTTGCCCCCACCTGGAACCTTCCATGAGGTTGCTGTGACCAAATGCAGGTCCCAGCACTTGGCCTTACTGAAGCCAGCTTACTAAGCTGAGCAGCCTTTTGCAAATTCACAGGAGGGATTCCAGAACTTTGCAATGCTGCCAACCTTGGCACTATTTGTTAGCCAAAATCTCAAAATATTCTGTGCTGGAAGGGACCCACAAGGACTGAACACCCCTGGTCATTGCAGAAGTACCACTAAAAGCAGAGTGCTTCAAACAAGGCCTGCAGTGCTGATGGGGCAAGGCAGCTCTGCCTCAGGGGATCTCCTGGATGGTCTGTGCTCCAAGGCATGCTTCAAAGCCTCAAGCTAACCCAGAGACACACTGGCATCAAATCTAGGAGAACAAAAACAGGCTCTTTCCCCTTCTACAACTGAACAACACAGATGGAAAACCAAACCTCGGGCAGAGATGAGGTGTCTCACCTGGCAACAGCTACATCCTTCCCTCTTTTGCTACAGGTTTTGACTATGCACTGAGCTCTGGGACTGGGGAAATCCCAGTCCCTCAGCCAGCTGCACTGGCTGGAAATCCAGGTATGGAAGGAGCCTGTGCTGTCCCCAGGGCTGCTGCATATCTGGGGGGCTCCGAGACACACCTGATGCTGGGACACAGCAACCTCAGGGCTAAGCAGCTGTTCCCTCTTGCCAGGCTGTATCAATTACAACCCCACCAGCAGAATTAATAAAACATCACCACTCTTCAGGAGCTCTCTGGGGGAGGTTTACCCTGAGGAGGTGGAAGGTTTTACTCCAAATCAGCTACAAATGCTGCATCACAAAGCCCACTGTACTCACTGCAGCACTCCCCATATAACCATTGACCATAGGCATTTCAACTGGAATAAAGAGAAATTATATAAAAAAACAGCCTAACATTACAGAAAAAGCCCTTAAGGATCTTTTTTTTCCATCTTCAATACAAACCTCCTATGGGAAGCTTCCTTCCTCAGCAAGCGGAGGCCACAAACGTTTAAGACAGAAAACTTTGAAAGGCTTTTCCTTTGAATTTCAGATCTTGTTCAAGGCAATATGGTTTATCTCCTAGTTACCACATCAAAATGGCATTAAAATAACATTACTGAGCATGTTTTATATGATAGAAAATTTATATTAAAAAATTTCAACACCTGAGAGAAAAAATACATCTAAAAAATTTTAGTGCTCATATTTGGGATTGTTTTCAATTTCAAGCACTGCTCACTTCTACATAAAAAAGGAAGCAACTTCCTGCTTCCATCTATTACCAGATGCCCTTGTCAAAGGAAAAAAAAAAAGAAAAACATCAACAAATCTGGAGTTTTGAGCCTGAGGCAGGTCCCCAGGAAGACAAGAAAGGAAAACAGAGCAGCGTGAGCAGCGTGAGCTCCACAGAACACGGACGTTTAAAGTTCCTCTGAATACCAGACAAGCTTCCTGTGCCATGTGTAGGTTTTTTTGAGCAAGCATCCTGTGGCTAAACAATGAAACCCAGCCATTTGAGTGATCAGAATTTATATAAAAGAAGGGAATTAAAACACATTTCTTGGCTGCAGAGTGATCTGATTCTCTGAGGCTCCCTGAATGGCTGATCAGGACGCACTGCCACAGTTACATAATGGACTCCTGCGGAGCAGCAAAAAGTAACGGCTGCAGAGATTTTTCACAGATTAATACCAAAATGCAAGGGGCTAAGGATGAACTGAGCTAATAAAAAACCCACTGCACCCGGGAGAGAGTGCCACTGCTCCAGAGCTCCTGAAAAAAACCTGTGCTGGATGAGGGCAGGAAGAGAAAATCATCTCAGAGCAACACAGGTTGGGCTGTGTTTGGAACGATAATTGTACACACCAAGAACTCCAGGATCACAAAATGGTTTCGCTTGGGAGGGACCTTAAAGCTCACCCAGTCCCACTCCCTGCCATGGGCAGGGACACCTCCCACTAGACCAGGTTGCTCCAAGCCCCATTCAACCTTCCCAGGGACAGGGAGTCCACAGCCCCCTTGGGTACCCAAACACCTGCAGCTCACTTACCAAGCAAATCAAGATCTCAAGAAAAAAAGAGGAGAGGAGGCTATAAATTTTCATAGCTGAATAAACTGCCTGAAGAATTAACTGTTCAACTGGGGAAATGGAATTTTAGATTTGCCGAGGTTATGTTTAATTTTAATGGCATTGAAACTACTTTCCCATTATTTCTGAAATAATTAAAATTTATGCAAGACTGACACTTCATTTGGATGTCTTGGGCTCTTCCTCAACCCTGGTACTCCCCTAATCTCCGGACAATTGAACAAGCAGGCTTTCCTCAGAGCTGATGGACTGCAGGGCTGGGAGCGGAAGAGTGGATTAAAGGATGAGCAGAGACCATGTCTCCACAGAGAACCTGGTTACAGCTAATCCAAGAATGCTCCTGCATGTCACGCTCAATCCAACTCTACAGCTCATTTTTATCAGCCCTTGACTTACAAAATAACCCCACAGGTTTTTTAAATCACATAGAAATACAGAATTTGTCTTTTTTTAATACTGCCTGAGCTATTCTTCCAAAGAGCTCGAGCCCATCAATTTCTCCAAGCTGGAGCCATGTCCTACCTTTCCAAAGCAAGCAGGATGTATGCAATAACATCACAAATGTACTGCTCACTCAATACAACACAAGAGCTCCTTCCCCTCAGCTGGTAACTGCCCCTGTACCACCTGCAGGTTTTGTCCTGACATGGCAGGCTCACTCTAAAAATCTGGCAGCCCTGGGTGTAGGGAAGGAAATGTCCTGCTCACCCCAGGACTGTTCCTTCCAGAACAGGAGCAAAGCACATGGAGAAAGCCCCGCTGCTGCCCTGGGGCTCTTCAGCAGCTAAACAAACAGGAAGGTTGATGCCAGGAAGTGAATAACCGGTGTGTTAAAACATAAATCATCTTCAGAATGACCAAACCCAAGAGCAGTGAATTTCTACCATCACTGCAGCAGAAGCAGGAGAACTCAGCCCCATCAGAACAGATCTCCCAACCAGCCCACAGACACTGATGTTGATGACCCTCTCTTTGTACCTTGTACTTCTGCCTCAGCTCCTCGGTGTCTTCCTTCTCCACCTCCAGCACTCGCCTCCGCTCCGTGGCATCCTCGGCGTAGTCAAGCTGTTTAAAAAAAAACCAGAGAAGAGATGCTATTTGGTCCATAAATACATTGCACCATCAAATCTACCAGAAAAAACAACTTAACAACTTCAGCTGAAACAGAATCTATGCAAGTTGTACTTTGCTTTCCCTGCTTTGTCACCCCAAGTGTAAAACAGGTCATTAATCCCCCTGACATGGCAGGCTCATGGCAGCTTTGGGGAGGGGAAATCTCAGAGCCCAGGGATTTTGGGGAGCATCCAGACTCCAGAACCCAGGCTCACAGGGATAAACAGGGGATGCATTTTGCAGACAAGTGTTTTCTTACTGCGCTGATTCACAAGCAAGTTGTTCTTTGCCTTGGATGCACAAACTCTCACCTGAAATGCCTTTCCCACCCACTCCCCAGAAGCCCTGCAGGGGTGAGGGCAGCTCACCTCCATCTCCATCCGGCCCATGCCCATGACATCATACTTGACAACGATAGGGATGGGATCTGTCCTCCCTGGAAGAGGAACACACACAGAGAGGTCAGCAGCAGCCCAGCACCACAGCTCACTGTACACATTGGGTTTGGGTGGTTAGAGATCTTGCCTTGGAGTGCAGAGACCAGAAAGCTACAGTGAACCAAACACAAGCCATTCTCACAGCTTACAGCCAACCCTGTGCCCAGCTCCGAATGGCACCCAGGATGAGAAATGCATTTTTCTGAACATTAACTGCTCGTATAAAAGCTTCTTGTGGTTAATGTTCCCCCATGACAAGCCCTGGGGCAGGGCTGATATATCAGGACCTGAGACTTCTCAAGGCTTCCACATCAGGCTGCTCATCTCCCCATAAGAGTGAAGAAGCTGCTAATCACATTTCACTGTTGCAGCTCATGAATAATCGATTAGAACTTTGCTGTAAGAGATGTGGAAGCCTCCCTCCCACCAGCTTTTGCCCTCCCCAGGAGTAAGGAATGCTCAGGAGAATAATGGCACAGAAGCCAAACTTCCTCCATCCCAACCACCCAGTCTAGGCCAGGGGTGGGTCCCTGCTCCCCCAGCCCCTGAGTGATGCTCTGGCCCCGCCGTGTCACCTGTAAGCTGTGAAAAGGACTGGTTGCGAAGAAAATTGACTTTGAACTAATCAAACTACGCTGGAGATTTATTATTTAAAAAAAACATATCTTTAATCCACTCATAACCAGCCAAACAAAGCAAAATGGGGCAGACAAGCACTTTACTACCACAGCTTTTTTTTTTTTTTTTTTTTTAATTATTATTATTTTGATTTTTACATCACAACTGGCACTGGTGGTTGTGATGTAACCCACTGACAAAGTACTTACCTTCTCCAGTGCAAACCTTGAGTGAAAAAACAGAATGTTTACTTCCCTTATTATTGCTCTTGTTTGGTGTAAACAACTCTTGTTATACACACATACACAGGTATTATACCTTTGGGCTAAAAGACTGACACGTTGGAGTCATGCTGAAATATTCCACTGCCATCCACATGTGCAAAAGGTTAAAGTCTTTAAAACTGCCTCAGAAAACCTGGATAGGTGTGAACTCTTTTCCAGCATCAGCCATAATTCCTGCCAAAATCACAGCCCTAGACGGGCTTTTGAACCTTAAAGTACAGACATGTGGTTTTATTCAGAAATAAATCAATTTAATTAATTGCTTTATGGTTTTGTTGATATGCCTGGGAATTTGGCAGGCAGGTATCCATCAGGTCCAAAAGTAGTGATCACATTGACATGAAATGGTTTGGATTGAGCTTTCCTTTGGATATTTAATGCTCATCTTTGACAAGGTTTCTCTTATGCCCAATGGTATAATACAGTAAGCAGTGACTGCAATTTTTAGCAAAAGGACCAAATTAAAGACAGGTTATAAAAATGATTTCCTAGGTGCAATATCACTTTCATAACGTCTCAATCAGGGATTTACTGGTAAGTGGTGAACCCAAATGGAATGGCTGGCACCAAGTGCCAACAATTTATTATTCAAATTTTTTTCAAGCTTTTTCTTTTTTGTTTTGGTTGGGTTTTGGGTATTTTCGGTTTGTTTTTGTTTTGTTTCTCCAGTAATTGAGATCTTTTGATGCAGCCTCATTGGCCTGGTAAACCCCTGTACACAATGCATCAGTACTTTTGCCTTCTAAGGCAGTCAAAGTTTTTTGAGTTGGTTTTTTAAATTCAAAATCTATTTTGAAATTGCAGTAGCAAGTGCTAGTGCCCATCATGTTGGGGAAAAAAAAAATCAAGTTTGGACAGTATTAAAAATTTATGTTTAAACTGATTTTGGCAGTTCTAACACAAACAGAAACATCCCTTCTTAGCAATACCCTTTAATGAACAAGGATCAGACAAGTGTGCATAAAGAAAGGAAAGGAAAATGAAAGACCAAGCAGAAGGATGATGGCTACAACAGAGAAAGTAAGCCTAACATTGGTGCACTGATGACAAAGGAGTAATTCAGTCTGAAAATAAAAAATTACCACTGCTAAGTTTACCATCACCACAACAAGTCCAGGATCATAACGCTGTAAAAAAGAAACACCATTTGTTAGGCAAAAACCATTAGGGGCAGAAAATAGGCCGTTTGGCAGGGAGGATGGGTAAAAAAAAAATAACAGGAGGCTTCTTGCTCACCCCTCCACCCCATGACCATGATGTGCCCTGCAGAACCAGGGAGCCACTGGAGCAGCTCTGACTCCTGCTGGGTGCTGGGAGAGCTCCTGGTGACGGCCCCGCTCCGAGGAGGCACTGAGGCACATGTAAGCAGGCAATTTAAAAAGGAAACAAATCAGGATCTTAAGGAAGCAACAAATATTCTGGGCCAAAAGGAACTCTGCTTGCAGGTAAGAGGAGAATATTCCATGCGAAAAGCGATGCCTCTGTTTTAAACAGAACCATCGTTTCATTATGAATGGAACCTCATGTGTGACATCCGGGTGACAAGTGGCATATCCAGGCACGTAGCACAGCTGTGGCAGCAGTGCCAACCCCACATGGATCCCCCTGGAGCCAGCTGGGGCAGCAGGACATGCTGCTGGGCACTGGGGTGGCCTCGCTCCTTGTCCAAGGGAAGCCACGATGGTGCAGGGACAGGGACAGGCTCAGGGCCACCCTTGCCCACTGGCTGCCAGGTGGGACATGGGGAGCAGCCAAAGGGGGAGATGGGGTTCTCCAAGCTCAGCTCATGACTTCTTTGAAGGAACTTCCTCAAGGAAATTTATCCTACTGCTGGTCATGACAACGGGATCTTTCCCAGCAGGTAATGTGGTTGGACGTCGGGAGCCTCCCAGGTTTGGGGTCCCTGCTGAGCCTTTCCTGTACACCAGCATGCTTTGAAGGGAACATGAGCTTCCAAGGCCCAGAATTCCCACACTTCCTGCCACTCAGCAGGGCTGCAGGCAGTGCCACATGGAGGGCGAATTCCCAGGGTAAATCCTGCTGTGTCCCTATCCCAGCCCCCTGCACCTTGTGACATTTATTTTCTTTTTGAGGCTGGTCACAAACTCCTTCACAGACTGGTCACTGCACAGGTTGCAGACCCCAAAGCAGAGAGGGTTATTGCATAAAACACTTCCACACGCAGGGAAAAATCTCATGGAAAGGACAGAGCAGGAACCTCCAGCAAGATGGAAAAAATAAACAGCTCACACAAGAGTTACACCTTAGAAAACCCAATCTCAAAAGGAAATTAGGTTAGTAATGATTCCCTGCCCTCAGAAATGAAATGAGATTCCCAAACTGACCTGCTGTAACTCTTTTGCTTTTCTTTCCCCAAGAAATGGGCAAACCTTTCTCCCAGCTTGTGAAAAATTACTCAGACCCAAACAAACCCTGACAGCCATCCCTTCCCAGAGCCCTGCAGTGGCAGGGAGCATGTGGCCAGGCAGGCTTCTCCAAATTCCCTTCTTTTTAACTGCATAAAGCTATTGGATACGAGCAAATACTTCCCTCTGCAGTGCTATAAATGAATAAATCTTGGGGAAATTCATCCTAAGGCTTCAGGGCTTTGCTATCAGACACAGGTCACGCTGCATATGAAGGACTGTGGGTTCACAGCCATGCTCTGGCTCTTGACACTGTGTGGATGCTGCTCTGCCCTCTGGAATGGGAATATCCCAGCTGGAGCTGCCATCTGAGCCTGCCTGGAAATGCCAACATTGTCAACACTAGCCCATGTTTTATCCTTTTTTTAACAAGTCAAAACAGAAAACAGTTTTAATCAGATTTTTAGATTCAGAGGAACTCCTCCCTCCAAAAACAGCATCATGGCAATAGAATCCCAGAATGGCCTGGGTTGGGAGGGAACTTAAAAACCAGTTCCTCCATGGAACAGGGACACCTTCCACTAACCCAGGTTGCTCCAAGCCCTGTCCAACCTGGCCTGGGACACTTCCAGGGATCCAGGGGCAGCCACAGCTGCTCTGAGTACCCTGTGCCACGGCCTCACCACCCTCACAGGGAAGAGTTTCCTCCCAATACCTAATGTAAATTGAACCTTTACTTAATTTATAACATCTACTTCTTGTTCTATCCTAACAGGTAAATTTCTCCATTAAAGGGGCATTCAGATATAACAGGATGAAAAAAAGTACCCCAAAAATTCTATGCTAACATAATTCAATCAGATCTCTTCCAGTGTGTCCCTTATGCACACTGTGTAAGCACCACAGAGTAACACAAGAACTGTAATCCTGCTTGTTTTGTTGACGTCTTCATAGAAATTCCCCGCAGATACAAGCTTTGCAGGATCCAATCCTAGAGGACTGATTGATATCACACTTGTCACTGGAGGATAATTTCATAAACTCAGCATCTCCAGAGGACACAGACAACAGCACCTGATCTTGTTGGACGTGGAGGATTTCTCCTTATTTGATAACTTGATGCTGCAACTGAAACCCACAGTAAGACACAACCTTCCCGGGGCTTTCAGCTGCTCCTGGAAAGGGACTCTCACTCAGCTGCATGCAGGGCAGGTTCATGACCATAGCACAGGGCTCTTCTGGTTGAGGGTTCATGAATTAGCTGCATTTTAAAGAGGAGGATTTTGCAACATTCAACACTCCTGGGACTGTTTCGATATAGCCTGGGGGGTTCTGGGCTCTGCTGCCAGGGAACAAGTGACAGGACAAGAGGGAACAGCCTCAAATTGTGCCAGGAAAGGTTCAGGTTGGACAGGGCTTAGTGCTGGCCTTGGCAGCACGGGGCTCCCTAAGAGTCTGGGAGAAACCAAGAGCTGAGCTGTTGAAAATTCAGACCCCTCATTCAGTACATCAAAAGGGGAGAAGGGAGAAAAGCCACTCAATTTCACTGATGCACAAGCCTGGAGTACTCACTGGCTAAAAATGACATCACATTATCAAACTCATCCCAACTGCTGCAAGAAGCAAATGAACAAACAAGGGCAAGCTTTAATCCTGGTCTCCTTTGGAAATTAGATTTGTGAGCTCATCCTGTTTATGTCAGATTTCTGGAAGAGGTCAAAATAAGAGATTCAAGAGATTCAAACAAAGGTCTATCATCCTTGGTGGCAAATAAAGTTCCAGAGAGGAGAAAGTGTTTTCCAAGAACACAGAAACTGCCCTGTGAATTTAATCCTTACTAAGCAGAGGAGAAATGACGAGACAAAGTCAAGTTGTAAACATCTCAATCACATGGAAAACCTCCAGTGAGAGCTCAAAACTTCGCAGACACACAAACCAAGGGTGCCACTTGCAGAAAACCAAGCTGAGGTTTGACACTGAGGCACCAAGCAGAGCTCCTTGAACTTTTGCAGCGGAAGAAACATAGTGGACTCTGGGTCAAGAAATATCCCTACCCCAAATGCTGGGCAATGGATTAAAGAGCAACAAAGAAGGTGTTGGAGCAAAAACACAATTCCTGGTTGATTCAGGATAGGAATTCAAGGTAAAACTTGCTGTCTGTGTTCATCTTGGTAAGTGGACAGGGCTGAAGGGTCTGCTCTGGTTCAGGGCTGCACTGAGGAGAGAGGCAGGCTGTGCATGGGCACGGCCTCTCCCAGTTTAATAAAACTACTCTTCCATTGCACCAGCACAAAGGACCAGAAGGCCTCGTGCCAAGCCAGGCGAAGGCCATCTGTCACAACAAACACGTGGCACTGAAAGCACAATAATTTCAGATTTCACTGGCTACACCCACTCAAGCACCACAAACTCACCACCTGTAATCAGGGGAAAGATCTTGCACCTCCAAAAGCAAACAAGGGGGCAACTGCTTCCCCCAGATGACACTGAGCAAACTTCCTTTTTGGTCTGTGGTCTGCTGGGTTTTAACACAGCAGTGAAGATGGGCATGATGACAGCAGCCAGGTTTCTCAAGCTAAGTTCAGATGAAAACATCACTCTTAAAACCACTGGCGTGATTTGCGTTGCAAACAAAAGCATGAAAATGCTCCTCCATGCAAGGATTGCGGTTCCTGTGAGGACATGTGAAGATACAAGAAGATAAGAGAGTGATCACAGCTATTTCTTGGCTAAGACTGCCAAACCAACCCATACGTAATGAATAAAGGCACTGTTAAGCATTTTTATCTGCCTCTCCTGTGTTTTCCTGTATTTATTACAAAGCTCCAAAACCCAGAAAGAAATCTGACACCCCTCAGTCCCTCAGATGCTCATTGTTCCACGTTCACAGGCCTGACACATATCCCCCGTCTGCCTCCAGGAGATCAGAGGAGCCAACAAATGGAAAACACATTAATATCGGAGCTGAAGCCATTTGGCAAGCAGGTGACAGCACCAGGATTCAAGACCTTGGAATTCAAACCCTGAGCTCATTTCTCCAAGCTGCAGCTGCCAAGTGATCACATTTGTGACTGATCTCAGTTGCTCGAGTGGTCAAAGCTCCGTTTATTGCTCCCCACAGCCTGAGGAACATCCAGCAAAGGCTGTGCCTGCAGCCACCTGGCAATGCCTCAAAACGGGGACTTGGATCCGGCTCCATCCCACAGCTGGGATCACCCCAGGGGCTGCCAGGAGAGGACATTTCCTGCCTGAGCCGCCGGGTCTCGGCTTCACCTGCAGCTCTGAGCAGCTTCCAGCACTTCTCACACTTCTGCTCTTCCACCCTGCTTAGCCCTTGGACCAAGAGGGAATGTTTTCCCTTTTCTGAACAGATTTGGGGAGGAATGTGCCAAAGAAGAACTGCACCATAGTGATGCTGACTATATTTATCCTCATAGAATTTGCAAGTCAGAGCACAAATCCACTTGTGCTTTTTCTTTTAATTGAAAACCATGCAACAAAAATACAGCTTGATGGAGGAACTGGATTTTAGCATTTGCTACCAAATTTGCTATACCTGACTTTGCTACCTAGCTGGATGCACTTGTGAAAAAATAAAATAAACCTAAAGCACTTTCTATTAACTGCTGCTCCCTGTATCACCAGGATGATTTATACAATCAGTGTGGGGCACACCTTGGTCAACAGGAACAGCACTGCCCTGACAGTCTGTGCAGGTTTATTACTTTCAGCCTGAATGGAAGGGAACAAGGATGTAGGAAGGGTTCCCAGCCCTGCATGGCACTGCCAAGAGCTCCCGGGACACATCCCCTGCCCTCTCCTCCCAGTGTTACATCAGCAGAGCTGCTCCCCAGGGAGATGGAAGCAGCTCTTCCAGAACAGTTACACTGAAATGATGCCAAAACTTGGCTAAAAACATAAGCAAACATGAAGTTATTACTGAATAAGCAGAGGAAGCAGGGGACTGAAGGTATTTCTTCAGGATGAAAGGCTACAGGGAAAGTTCCTGCCACTGCAAGAACCTGTCCCAAAAGGGACATCCCTGCCCTAAACAGAACCACCTGCTGCTTCTGTTTCCTGAGTCCTGGAGATAATCTAAGTCCCAGCACAGACTAGCAGGCACCCACCTTGAAACTCCTTTGGCTTCACTCTGAACATTTTCATGACAATAAAAAGCACTGAAAGAGCTGCCTCAGCCCTCGAGGAGCAAACACAGGAATTCCAGAGCTCCACTGAGCCCCCACGTTACCTGAGCTGTCTGATTCACAGCTGAGACACTGAGGAGCAGCTCTGCCATGACAAATGGTGTATTTCTGTTGCCATAGCAAAGTACTACGTTGGGATTCACCTCTCAGAGATACCACAAAAGATCAGGATAATCTTGGTCTTGGGAATACTGTGGAAATGTGCAGTAAATCAATGCCTTAAAACATATCAAATTAATCATACAGGGCACAGTTTGTGGTGTAGGGGAACTTGTAACTGCTTCTATACAGGTGGTGGGGCTGTCTTTAAAGGGTCCAGGCTGCAATCAGGCAAGAATGTTTACAATAGAAACCTTTAGAGAGACAAATCTGTGTTGAATACAGTTGTTACCCAGACTGGCTAAGGATGAGCTGGACCTGTCCACCAGAGATAGTCAATCCTTCCTCATATGGCCAGTAAACATCAAACTTTCCTCCTGCCCTCTCCAAACCCTCCCTGCAGAACTGCCCACCCTCCCCAGGCCCTGCTATGACCCAGAAAGCAGCAGGACAACCTACTCAGTTTCCCCTGGTCTAATTAAATGAGATTAAACTACTGGTTTCAGTCTTGCAGATATCCCTCTAGAGTACTATTACTTCATATTAAACACACAAGTCCAGAAAGAAAAAAAAAACAAACCAGAAGTTTTCAGCACTTTTTTTTTTTTCAAACAAGACTTGTCAAAAAAATTGACAGGGAAAAGGCAAAGAGCTTATAAAAATATTTTCAAATGTACAATTCAAATTATCCCACTTCTGCACGTCAGTCTCCTGGCTTTTCATAATACTACTTTAACTTAATGGGAAATACTCATTCCAAGAGAAATCATTAGAGTGTGGTTGAATTCAGATTTCCCTCAGCCCTCTCATTCCCCTCCTGACTTACCTAACTCCTAATTTATTCACAGTCCTTGGGCTCATTTAGCACAGGACTTCACACGAAGGTCAGGCAATGCTTTTAACTGATCCTTTGCTAGTTTCATTTCTTCAGGAGACCACAAAATTCTGGATTACCAACTGCAGGCATTCCCCCAAAGATAAAACAGGCAACAATCACCATTTTCTCACTTGTCAGAGTGCAACCAGCACATATCTCTATGGAAAAGTGGCTCCCTAAGCTGTATTTTCTAAACTAAAAAAGATCCCTGTCAACTGGCAATCCTCTCTCCTGTTTATTCATATTCACTGGCTGTTAGCAAGCTGAAGCACCATTTCGAAATATAACACAAGTTATTTGTGGGAAACAAAAATGATGAAAAACACCAGGAAGAGAGATGAGCTTAAGGATGACTCTGCTGAATTCCTTCCCAGTATCTCTGAAGCAGGACTCCAGCACTGGCATGGTCAGAGTTGACAGCACTGTCCCTGCCTGATGCTCCATTCAGCACACAGCCCAATATCAGTGAAAGATGCAGATGTTTCAGCCAGAACACAGCTGGTGACAGCCACATCACTCAGGGCATAGGCTCTGTGCTTCCCTGCTCAGCTTTTCTCAGTAACAAGACTTACACCACAAGGCAGCTGTCCTAGGGGGTACAAAATGCCTCCACCTCTGGAACTTTCCTGAGAATGAGCCACAGTGTACCACACCAGCAAAATTTTACCACCAGCAACTGGCAAGTGTAGTTTTTAGGCTGTTGCAGGTACCACCCAGAGACAGCTCAGCACTCTCACCACTGGATTCCATCCCTCAGTGGGTGGTCAGGATGAAGGAACCATCACAGGGTAGGTTCTTGCTGAACAACACCACAAGACTACAAGAAAGAAACGTTTCTGCCTGGCAGATGTAACACAGCATCACTTTGGGATTCAACAGAACTAAAGAGGGAGCCCCAGCTCAGATGAAGATCTAGAATTAAAAGCAACATCACAAAACTCAGCACATTGAACTCATCCACTTCCTTACAAGTTGAAGTGCACAGAAAGTAGCTAAATGCGGTATCAATTCCATACACACAACCCAAAATCTTTGAGTTTGATGTAAGGACCTTCTGCAGGAGGTCAGACACCACACCCACAGCTCAAGGCTGCTTGAAGGGGTTCTGTTTCTGCTGCACTTCCTCACCACAGGCTGTGTAAGATTTTAGCTCAAGCAGTGTCAAGCAAAGTTTAACAGGAACACACCTACATCTCTTTAGAAACCTCTCCTGGTCTTTCCTGAACAAGGGAGTGTGGAAGATGGGAAGAACTTCTACTCTGCTCCTCCCTTCTCACTGCACATCAAATGACTTCACTCTTCAAACTCTTAGAATAAGATTAAAATTGGATGCAAATGTTTCCTTCCTGACATTTTATATTTGGATTTTTGGGCCAATTAAGATTCGTGTAGAAAGGTCACTGGATAATGAATTAAACAACACATCATCACTAATGCCACAGGCATAGGCTCTGGCTGCTGAGAACTGAGAGGAGAAAAGCTGGAGCAGCAGCAGCCTCCCTTCCACATCCCACCTGCCCAGACCTCTGGAGAGGTAGGCTGGCAGGTGGACAGGGCACTACTCCCTTCCAAAGGGCTGAAATTCCTGCACATGCTCCAAAGCCTACATTAGGAAGGCCCACATCCACAATTTGCCTGTAGCTTCCACACGGTCCCAATCAGCAGTGTTCCAATGGTATGTGAGACATCCAGAACAGCTCCAGCTCAGAGAGAGGCAGAGAGGGAACATCTGAATCTGGACAAGATTCAAACTGCAAATTCCTGCTCAGCTCATGAAACACAGTGACACCACCACCCCCTGCCCCGACTCCAGACCTAGTCCCATAATCCATGCTCACTCCATCACATCTGAGCCTGCAGCACCCCAGGCTCTTGGGACACACATGGGGCTGGGGAAAGGCTTTTCCTTTTTTCAAGTCTGTGTTTCCACACAGTGACACACAGAGCAATACAGGGCACCCAAGAGAGGCACCATGCCAAGTTCCACCCTGTGATCCACATCCCAAAAGAAAGGCCCAGAGGTCACAGCCAGAGCCCCACCTGACGTCTGGCCCCAGCAGAGACAGGAGAGGACTGGAGAGTGCCATGCATCAGCCAGAGAACTCAACTGAAACCACATTAGAGGGAGCCAGAAGCATTAACCTGCAAGGCAGTCCTGCCTGAGAGGTTAGGCTTAGTCCAGGGATTAATAAGCATTCCCAAAGTTTGGAGAACTCGTTACCTCTGCACAGTCCTCCATAGCACAGACACCTCCATCTCTAATGGGCTCACTCATGGAACGTGGATTACAAACTCCCAGGTCTTCAGACTATGGGCACGTGAACATGAGTGAGTTACTGAGGGGCACAGGGCACACCTGAGCTTAAAACGCTTCCACAGGTTTCTACAGAAATGGGGTTTAGTGTCACAGGAAGAATTCAGGCTCAAGACAGCAAGGTCTGGTGTGTGTGCTGGGCCACCAGCACTTTGGTGTCCCAGCGAGATTTGCTAATCCCTGACAAACTGCTGGGAAAAGGAATAAATCCAACCTGTGACAGTCCTGTGGAGAAACCAGGAGTGAGCCTCTCCCATCCAGAGGACCTCTGCCACCACCTTCCATCTTCAGTGGGCCCTCTCCTGGCCTTCTAATGGCTTCTGACCCCGGTGAGCGCTGCCAGATCATGGAAACTACCTCAAATCCTCAATTCTTTTAACACCAAAACATCAGCACAGTTGGAAGCTGCACCACTCCCTGTCAGTGTGAAAAGTGAATCCTCCTTCCTCCACGCTGACTCTCACACATCCACCACACACACAGCTCTAACCTGTACCAACAAGTGAGGCAGCAGCTTCCACTTGCAAACTGCCAAATACGAAACTCAACAGTACATTTGTTGGGATATATTAATAATGGAAAGAAAATCTAATCTAGGAACAAAAAGCAGAAATAATTTTGTTAAAGACCAAGGCTGGAGTTGAAGGTTTCAGACACAAGGGACTGGACTTACCCTGCAGTGACTTTCCCAATCCCTGGCCCAGCTTCCACCCATGTTTCTGGAGTAAGCGATGTCCAATATTATCCTGACAGACAGAACAGAGAAAACAAACCAAAAATATTCCAATAATATATTCTTCCCTTCCCACTGACATTTAAACATGTGATGAGCAAGAGATTTTTCTACATATATATGCATGCAAAAAAATGCTACTGAAAAGGCAATATATGCCCAATAAAGGGAAAGACAAATGTCAAAAATTGCTGGCTAGAATTTTTCCAGGGGGATGGGTATTGGGGACGGTCACTTTCTGATGGTGTGCTGGGCAACTTTTGTGCATCACGTTTAAAAGAAATAAAAAAATAATAAAAATAAAAAGCAATGTGGAAGAAAATAAAGTGTACCAATAAAAATTGACAGTAAAAAGCATAAAATCAAGCTATTTATACAATCATATCAATCACCTAGACAGCACCACTTAAGATTTTTTTTGTAAAGAAAATCTACAATGTGTTTAGTCATTTTGTTTGTGTGTCAGGCTTTTATAATACTGAGTAAGTTGTAAGTGCAAGACTGCCCCACCACTAGAAACCAAAACACAATCAGAGCAAAATCCAGGCTAGACTTGATTGGGTTTTTTTTATATATGTATATATATATAAACTAGCATGCAGCCAATATTAAACTGAAAAAACAGTGAGGTTAGTAAAACAAAAAAAAAAAATCAATTAAATAAAATGAGCTCAAGCACAGACTGGGTGATGCATTTCACATGTAAACTAACAAAAATACTAAGATGTTAGAATGAAACAGGCCTAGCAATAAGTTAACAGCAAGGAACCATTAGTGCATGTAGGGGAAACAATAAGCATAATGTCTCATCTTCCTAAAAAAAAAAAGCTATTTTGGAAAAACTGGAAAAGTACTGATGCAGCAATTAAGTGTCAGCTTTTGGCAATGGGGCTGAGCAGGGCTCAGTGTGGAAACTGTTGTGTTTTATCCAAAGTTTCTGCCGCCAGACAAAGAGCAGAGCACTCACAGCACCCTCGAACCCTCTCATCTCAGTGACCAGTTTACCCAGTTACAAGCAGTGACCACCTCCTCAGAGAAGGACTCTTGGCTGGGACCATGTTTACCTTCCAATTGCAAAAAAAAAAAATAAAAATAAAAATCAGATATGAACTTGTTGATTATTAATTATCATCAGGCAAACCACAACCCAAGGTATCGCTGAAACATCCTGAATGATAACAGGATGTGACTCCAGAACACTGAGTGGTACATGGAATCCTAAAAAATAATTATATATATATGCTGCAGATTTCTTTAATTAAATAACAGTCATCAACAGAAAACAGAGTAGTTTTTGTCATTCCACAGCGAAGAAAATGACCACAGGGTTTGCACAACTTTGGTGAATCAGCTTGAAAGACACAACCTTCCCAAAGATATTGGCTGCATGGATACATTTTTCCTCAAAAAAATGCTATCAAGTACAAATTTTGGATTTTTCTTTCTGATATCCTAGTAAAGTCAGATATTTTGTATTCTTGTATTTCCCAAAGAATAATGTTCATTTTTTTCATTTTTCCCACACTACCAGCTCTGCCCCAGGACATAATTAGGGCTACACGGAAAAAGAAATTAAATCAGGACACAGAAGGAAACTTCTGGGGATAAAAGTTTAAATGCAAAAAAACAACAACCAAAAAATAAAATTAAAAAAAAAAAACCAAAAAAACACACCAAAGAAAAATAAAAAAGGGCAGATCCCCACCACAGGCACCATGGAGAAGGCTGTCTGGAACACTTACCTGCAGGCACACCTGGGCAGGCCAATCCCAAAGGCCACAGAGTGCCCCATCCCGGCACAGAGCAGCTGCAGCTTGGGATATGTTTGGGATAAAGCACTAATTGCCCTATCCTGACAAAGGATCATTGAATCTAAATGTCGGTGCTGACAAAAATGGCTGCGTTTTCCAAAAGGAAAAAAAAAAAAAGAAAAAAAAAAAGAAAAAACAAAAGAATTCAAAGGACAAGGAGTACTTTGCAGTCTTGGCCAAGGGGAGATGAGACATTGTGCTGACTGTGTGTGTTATGAATGCACTAAAATAAAGACAGATGAAGCAGAACGCTATTCCAAAAGCAGTGCAAGTGGAGTGAAAGCATTTCCATACGAACCTGGCTTTAAAAACTGGGCTGTCAAAAGAACAGTTAAATGTAACACAAAGTAAGAAACTGTCCAATCACTAATGGTAGTTTTTTTTTTCTTTTGCTTTGTTTTCAATTCACTGCTTGCAAGTAATGTATTTATTAAAGAAGAGTGAAAGCATAAAATAAATTCAACAAGTCAAGACCAGCTGGGAGATTCAAGAGCGGTGTGTTGTGACTGACAGTGAAGGGGGAAACAAATGTTAAAGGGAAAAAGAAAAATTTAGAAAGGTTATACACATTAGCACCACTTTTACAGACCCACTCAAGAGGATGGTCCCGAGTTGTTTGACATAAATTGGAATTATGTCTGAACACTGCCCTGTCTCAGTTCCCAGGAAGGTGTTGTTTCCCCCCCCACCAAACTTTTTCATTTGTTTGTTTATGCAGTGCAACTACTCCCTAATTTTACATTCTACTCAACTGAAATGGAGCATCTTCTGTTGCACTGAATAAGGAGAACAACTCTAATAATTTGAAATTAACATATAAATTGAGACCTGGCCATCACTTTGCTTCTTTCTGGCCATGTTCAGCTCCTCCCTCCTTTTCCAATGGCTAACTGAGACCTCTGATGGAGGCAAACTGAATTAATTGCTCTTCAGTGCAAATCCTGCCCTAAAAATTAAATAATGGAAGGCCAGGCTTGCTGGATCCCTCATGAGAACCTGTCTGCTCTCTAGGGAGTATCTAGGGATATTGGAAGCAAAATGTGACACGGGACAACAAATGTTGCAACAGCTGACAGCTCTTTTTTTAAAGTGCAGTTTTAAGTGAAAGTTCTGTAAAGTACAGCTACTTTCACATAGAAGAGATGGGGCTTTTCAGAGCAAGCTTCCTGCCCATGTCAAGAGCTGTCATTCCTTTTGGATAAACTATCCTCACACTGCAGCAGTTTTCCTACAGAAAAGCTGCAGGGATCCACAGCAACACCACAGCCCTAGGAGGAAACCCCTCATTTCTCAGCAGAGGGCTAGCATGAGTCTCCTCACTCTCTTCCTCTGCCATTTGGGAGTTCCTTGTATTAGAGCCACAATAAAAATTATTGAGGCAGTCAAAATAAGTCTCCCAAAAGGTGTTTGGGTGAGCAAGGGAGCTCTCCTGGACCATATGGGCACAGGCTGTGGGATGCTCCATGCAGGGAGAAGGGCTTGGCAGCTCTGGGTGGGACAACACCAGCTCTGAAGCTGGGCAGCACTGATGGAGAGCTTTGCTCTAATGACAAAGCAGAAACGTCTCCAAAGGTGTAGGAAATGCAAGGCCTTGGGTGTACCAGACCTTCACAGAGTGGGTAAGCTGCTTTGGAAATCCCTCATCCAAAGTGACTGGGCTCCAGCAGCTCTAACTGGCCTCCCCAGCTCCCCATCCTGTGCCCTGACAAGATGCCCTTGCTTGCTTTCCCTGTGGATCAGTGATCCCTGAGCAGGACATCCCCAGTACAAATTTCTGATAAAGGTTTGGCCAATAGGAAAATAAAATTGCTTACAATTAACAGATGGGTAGAAGAAGCCCAAGGTTTTGATGATGCCTGTGGGACATAACCCACACCAGTAGTTTTGCCTAGTGGAGGTTTTCCATGAGATCCCCACAATCCCATTGCTCATCCCAGCTCGGGCAGGAACCATTCCTCTCTTGAGTGGAGTGTAAGCTGTGCTGACTGTGTATGGAGGAATCTATAAGCAAGGATCGGATGCTACTGGGTGAACCCATGCAAACAAGAGGTTGAAAAGATTCCCAAAACAAAACCTAGAGCTCACTACAGATGACACAATGAAGACCAGAGAGAAAAGCCAAATAGTAATGCTACACCATTCAGCTTCCAGAAGCACATTATTTATAGCGCTGTCCACATATGGCTGCTGCTAAATGTCAAATCAGCAGCCTCTTCAAATGACACTTTGGAACTAGTGGAGTCCACAGATCCGTACAGATTTCCAGTGGCAGAACCCGGCTGCGGCTCGGCCAGGCTGCCACAGCCCCTGGTGTCCAGCACCACCGACTGCAGCCTGACCCGGGGGCTCAAGGCGCCCCTCATGGCACCGAGCAGCGTTAGAGACAGGGGAAAGGACATTTGTTAGTTAGGACAAGGACAAACTAACAAGCTCCAGGATAAGTGGGTGATTCCCAGTCTGGCCTCGGCGTGGGTCCACCCCTGACACTGCCTGCACGGGGCCAGGGCTGCTTCTTGGGGGCTCTAAGGGTCTATCGCTGTCTCCTACTCCATCTGCACTGCTGGGATGAGGAAAACCAGGAATTCACAGCAAAGAGACTCAATAAACAGGTAGAGATAAGGAATTAATGTGGAGAAAATCTAGATTCTATTAAAGCTGCAATAATTTGTGACTTCCCATTCAAGTACCTGGACTCAGTGTGCTCAAAATGCCCCAAAACAAATGTATGCAGCTTCTTGAGTTTAGAAAAAAGGGTGAAGTGCTCTGATTTTTCAAGGACACCCGTGACTGCACTGACATGAACAGTCAGTGTAAGTGCAGCATCTTTCAAAGCACAACATGAAAAAATTTTACTTGTAGGGAGAAAAAATATCTGTAGCTCTGAAGAGTCCATTGATATTAAATATTTTCTTCAATTTAGTAGTGGAAAACAGCTGGCACTCATTCAGGCCATGACCATCCCTAGCTCCTGGCAGCTCTGTTTTCCATAAATGTACTCTGGTTAGAGTCACAAGTTTCAGTGCAGACATCTTTGGCCTAAACAAACTGCACACAGCAGGATTTCCACAGGAACAAGAACACCAGTAGGCTAATTGAGGACATC